CCGACGTTTAAAAAAAAAAAAAAAAAGAATAGTCGAGCAGTTGCAAATCTGGTGCAAAATAGTGCTCGAATAATGAAACTGCAACTCAGCATTGCGAGAGGTGCGTTTCTGTTCTAGTTTCAAATTGAAACAGTCCTTATAAAATACAACAGCATTGCGAACGGCCTTATTATTCAGTTCCAACCTGGATCGGGTATCAAGATTGGGTCTGCTTGTTTTCTGACAAACGTCAGTTTGCTCGTTTGTTTTTAAAACCTAGCTCAGGTTGAGGTTCGTACTGACAAAAAGTTCGGTTTCGCAGGATAATTTACCTCCGCAGGAGTTGTCTTTCTGCTGTAATATTTAGTAGATCGGATGGGATTTATCATCCCCTGGTGTCTTCTGCAACAGAATCCCGTCGTATCCCACCTTGCATCCGTGTGTAGCCCGGTAGCAGCTTGTGGGTGGTAGAGTACCAAAGCTGGTCGAGAACACAACGCTTGCATCAACTGCTTGATTGCATCGTTATGCTCCAAATACAAAAACTACATCATCCAAGTCCGTGAGTGGCTTCACGATAGCTGAACAGTTCTCCACAAACTTTCGGAAGTATCCAGCTAGTCCTAGGAATCTTTGAATCTCCCTAAAACTCTTAGTGTCCGGAAAGTGCTTCCTGGCTGTTGTCTTGTTACTCGATCACCTCGTATCTTAAGTATTCAATCTGCCACTTGATCCTTAGGCCGTGACGTTCTGCAACACCAATAAACCATCATCAGCTTCCCCAATCCTGCTTGCTTGTCCTTCGCCGTAATTACCAGATCGTCGATATAGTCTACTACCATCATCTTCCAGATCAACTCTCGGAAAATGTGGTTATCTCCAAATCCAAAGTGGAAAACACCCTTGCTTCTTGCAGGTTGTCTACACAGTCAGTCTAGCTAGATTACCTTGGCATTTACTTTTGCTGAGATCTCTGGAAAATATCGGTTAGCTAGCTGAGATCTCAAAAAAAAAAAACTAATTTGTTAGCTGAGTATTAGCAATTATTTGACTACTCGAAATCTAGGCAAAAAAATTAAGTGTATATGATGTTCTCAATCAATCGACGAGGAAAATGATCGCGAACGATTGCCTTGTTAAGCCACCTATAATGAACGCATAGTCTTGTGGTGCCAGTTGTCGAGAGTAAGCGTGGGGTTGTCTATTTACCATCTAATGCCTCCACGGAGCAGAAGTTGGCTCTAACGGAACCGATGCAAGCGAGCGGGCTAATCCTAGTCAATTCATTCGTTAATTTGAATGGTAGACTTAGCTTTCATCAGCGAACAAGATACTGTCGAGCTGTTGGAACCCCCGGTCCCGTTACTGGATATCGACCATCATCATAGTCCATTCATTTTAAAAGTTGACGCTCACTGCAGAGCGCCCGAAGTAGCTGACCAACTGCTATTAACTGGGCACAACTTCTGGAAGGTGATTCTGTCGATGTCTTCTACAGCAAACTATACGAAACTCTCTATAAGCGAGTTCCTCTCAGACGGCGTTCAATGAGACCTACATCAGTTCAACCCTGGTGGACCACTGAGCTACGTAATTTGCGAAACGTTCTGCGTAAGGCTCGTAAACGTTTTTCAACAGTTGAACCATAAGCATACAAAATCTTCGGCTGATCGAAAGCAGATACAATTAACTACTAGAATCGAGCAATAAGGAATATGCTAACCGAACGCAATCGAACCTAAAGCAACCCCAGTTTCAGTAAACGATACCACGGCTAGCTCTCCTGCCGATGTAGCAAATTTGTTCGCGATCTTTTTTCAAACAGTTTACAGAACATCTACACCTACTTCCTAGCAGTTTCAATCAAATTCAAGAGTTGACGTTCAGAGAGTCTTGGACGCCCTCGATGCATCAAAAGGCTCCGGGGTAGATGGAATTCCCCCTACTCTCCTAAAATACTGTGCACGCTCGCTTGCTTTTCCGATTTCCTGTATGTTCAACCGTTCAATGAGTGAACGATCTTTCCCTAGTGCTTGGAAGATTGCTTCAATCGTACCATTTCAGAATGCAGGTAATCGAAACCTTGTTGAGAACTACCGTGGGATATCACTTATCAGCTGTATAAGCAAGGCACATATTTGAGATATTAGTCCACAATGTTCTCTATACTGCGGTTTATCCAGTAATATTGGAATTCCAGCATGGATTCGTCTGGAACTACAAACCTAATGTGCTACACTAATACACTGTTTCGAGAGGTTGAATCCCGGAAACAGGTTGACTCCATCTAAATCTGTACGCAACTGAGAAACTAAAAACCATGGGACTCCCTACTTGGTTAACTGAGTGGATTATTTCGTACTTGATAGACCGATTTCGACTAACTCCACGCGTTTGAGAGCCATCACAATTACATCAGGTGTGCGGGGTGTGCCACAAGGTAGTGTCCTCGGTCCAATGCTGTTTGTTCTTTTCGTGAATCTGTGCCCTCGTATTTCTTTGTTCAAACAGTTGTTTGCCTCGCCCTACAGAACGATATCAACGAGCTGTGGTGTAATGAGAATGGGTTGAATGTAAATATACGAAAATACAAGGTGCCTGAGGTCCATACAAATTTCCAAAAACATGTATGGATGATTGTCTACGTGGGCGAGAGAGGGGAGGGGTCTAAAAGCTCAAAAAAGTACCTAAGTAATGGTGCGATCAATCAGTAAAAGCAGCAGACTATGTTTTTTTTTAATCTAGTGGGGATAGAATAAGGCATAGTGAAAATTGCAAAGAAGACGACGGGCCTAGGATTGAACTCGCGACCCTCTGCTCAGTAAGCAGAAGCGGTAGCCACTAAGCTACCGAGCTTCGTCACAAATCTGAGCGACGATTTCCCAGCAGGAAAAGGATCTCCTAACCGAACCGCCGTGCGTTGGCAAGTTCAAATCAACCCGACAACACCTTCGGCGGCTCGGTTATGCGCATTTTTTCTGCTGAGAAAGTTTTTTAAGATGATGACAAACCACCGCTCTTCTGTTTGTTGTAAAGCCCTACACTGCCTATAAACGCATACCAGTCCCATATGGAAAAAGTAGGCATTGAGAAAATGGCAGTCGAAGTTACGAAGTGCAATTCTCATGTAAATATTTGAAAAATCATAGTAAATTTATTGATATTTTTTTCAAGCTAAAATCTATCACAATGAAGCTTGCATGTTCTGTTATATCAGCGAAAAATATGGCAATTCCAAAAGCAGAACTTTAACTTGAACTATGAACGATTGAATTTCAGGATGGGACTGATATGCGATTACTTTGCTTGATGGGACAAACTGACTTGATGTTGTTTTCATATTTTTCATGATCAAAGTCCATAGTTTTATCACATAATATGAAAGTTGATGTCAATTGATAGTGGATAGCGTTGTTATCTCAAAATTGACAAAAATCCATATGGGACTGATATGCGGTTATAGGCAGTACAGTAAAAGTATGGACGTCTGTCAAAAGTTGTTCGAAGCGAACAGTCAAAATGCACCGCTTTGCTCGATTGGAACAGCTTATTTTCAGTTTTGTGGTGACAGTCGTCCATATTTTCATTCTAAAGTGGACCCTACACGATTGCTTTTATTGACAATAATCGTATTGTCAATACATTCTATATTGACGTCAATATATCGAGATTGACAATATTTCTGAATTCACATTATCAATATTATTGTCAATAGTTCCCCTTCGCGTCAATATATTGATACGTGTGGGTTTTGCTTAACATACCTCGATTAAACGTTATCAATTAACCACTTTATTCGAGCACTTAAAATGACGTTTACTACCACTCGACCTTTGAAATAAAGCATTATTTTGAGTTTTTTTCTTCTAGAACCTCGAGAAAAGTAGCCAACATTTGTGCGTTTCATGAAAAAATATAAATTATTTGGTCCAGTTTTGTGAAATCGCTGGTAGAAAGTCACGCCAAAACTGCTTGACAAAGTGGTCAATTTAAACTCCTCCGAAAGGATATGAAGGCTGGCCACTTCCTTTCTCCACATACACAGACGTTCTACAACGTTCTACACACATGTGGCGGGATACTTTTGACGAGCAGCATATCGAGCTACAGCTAATTACCCAAAAACGGTTCAATGTACAAAACAAACAGTAAACAGTGCATAGCAACTACACTGTACACAAACATCATCCTCTGTTCGAATGAAGCCTCAGACCATTCAAAACAAAAGACCGAAATCGCTTTTTCGAATGATTGCTGCAACCGGATGACGGTTGTTTTGAAATCAGATGATTTTCCTCTCGAATACTGGATGAAACTTGTTATGAGAAGGATAGGGCTTTCACTTGAAATGCGTAATGCTCTCTGCAGAATGACTGTCATACTAAATGGAAATGCATATGGTATTGGTTCAGCCCCATAACGCAAATCATTCAAAACGAAGATGTAAATAATTCTATCGAACGTCATTTGCTGATCTGAGTTGACAAACGAGGTGGAAGCATATGCATCGCTATCAGAGCTGTTACGAACAAAGGTAAAGGATGAAAACCAATGTTTGGCTAATTCGTGGTGGAGGAGGTTTTCTCCACCACGAAAATTTTTTGTATCCATGATGGAATGGCTTATTATGGCTATTCAGTATGGAATTGTACATAATCAAATTATAAATCTAATTAAAAGCACTTGCATGTCACACTATTCTTAAATGTTTGTCCTCTGAGTGCCGTATGTTTTATAGCTAATTTTCAAACGAAAATCATCCTGTATTTGGATGACAGTCATATGGATGTTCATCATCTGACGACGAATTCAACCATGAGAAAATCATCCGAAATTCGAATGTATATTGTTAAAGGGCTCGAGCAAAGCAATAATCATTCGAAGTATTGCGGATGTTTTGGTTCAGTGTATAAGAGGCTTACAGCTACCGAGCAAACTACTTACCGAAAATCTGAAAAAGAAAAGAAAAATACACATTAGACTTCTGAAACGCCCTCTATTCCCTCCCTCCCCACTTCCAGATAACCCCATCGAGCGGCAGAATCGAACCCCTCTGCGGTAGCTGCCGTGCCAAACTGGGCTACGACTTCGACGAAGATGCCTACTACGAAATGCTTAGCCAAATGTACAGCGAAACTAGTCCGCCGCAGCACCAGCAGGCCCTGGGCGTCATTCCGGTGCACATAGGGCTGCTACCGCCGGCCCCGGAAAATCCCGACTACTCCTCCCCGGGCAGCCCCCTGCTAGATGCCGCCTGTGGTACGTTCGTAGTTACCGAGCTCGGTCGGGACGAATCCGATGGCTCGGATCTCAAATGTGTCATCTGTTCCAAGGTATTCAACTTCAAGTCCACACTTCGGCTGCACATCCGAAGTCATCACAATAACACCACCCTCCGTGAGCCGGAACCGCACAAAATACCCCGGAAGCCACGGATGTACGAATGTACCGAGTGCAATCTAAGCTTCAAACTGAAGTACGACTACGACAAACATCAGGCCATGCACAATCGGTCCAACCTGTTCCAGTGTGACGTGTGCTACAAACTGTTCAAACACAAGTCCTACTTTCTGATGCACCGGAATGCGAAACGCTGCAAGGCGATTCCGCTGAATTTGAGTGCCGATGGGGTCGGGGCCGTGGTCCGCAGTCAGCCAGGCCGAGGCCAGGGCATTGGTACCCTCAATGAGGGTATCCGGAATACCAGCTAGAAAGATTTACCATTGAAATCTCTTTTAAGAACGAAACAAGCTTCCTTCGTTTTTGCCATAACGACCATACACACACACACACACACATACACATTAAATGTACGTGTTTTTAACAATTATTAGCATTAGTGATTACCTACTAATAGATGTACTTGATGCCGAAAAGTGCGGGTGGAAAACTAACCCATACCAAATTGACAATGTTCCTTAGACTTAGTCGCCCGTTGTAAAAGGACGAACAGTTTTAATTTAGTTTAAGACCCACCGTTTTTGTTATTGTTTTATAATTTGTAAAATCCCCCATGAAACCTAAAGATTAGGTTATTTATTTTACATACGGCAAAATCGCGCAATATTCCACCCGGCACGTCTTGGCATCAACCACGATTTCTGGTCTCCTCGTTTTAGTCATTACTTGTAAACAAATGTTAAACCCAAAAAAAAAGTCAGCTGCATTAAACAACACAATAGAAACCGGTAGATTAATTCAAACAAGCTTTTAGCGCATAAGCCAGATTACGACCGCGCTATTTATCATTCTCTTCGGAATTCCTATGTAAAACACAAACTAATTAAACGAAATAAAAACTAATAGTATTCGATTCTTGAATAAGATGGAACAGAAACCAAAACTATAACATAAATCAACTAAGAAAGAGGATAATGCATTTCCTAATTACCTACATTTCTAGATGGAACAAAAACAAAGCAACTATGTGAAAGAGGGAAGAAATGTGTTTATTGTGATGAAACAAATTGTGAAGAAACAAAACAGAAACTACATTTAAACAAATACTAGATATTAGGATCCTACATTTTATCTTGAATGAAAATATAATGATTTTTACAAACCAAATTTTTAAGGCCGTTGTTGAATAATTAATTGAAGGAGGAAAAGGTAAGTTTGGTTAGATTCTGATTTAATGCGATATTTTTTCGCCAGTATTTTAGATCATGCAGCTAAATTTAAGGCAAATATCCAAATCAAAGAAAAATATGGTGGTACTGAATTTTTTACTCATCCTAATTGTGGACAAAATATTTAAAAAAAAAACACACGTAAAACATAGTTTAGCGTAGTAGTGAAATCCGGATTTGTGCTTTGGAGGTAAACATACACAAATGTTAAGTTGTTTGCTTTCTTTCCTATAATTTCTCCTCACATGAAATCAACTCTTCACAACCCGAAATTTTGCCAGGTCGATATAAACAGTCATAGTACAAACATGGTAATGTGAGATACAATGATGTGGTTTGCAAATGGGTTCCTATCAGGCTTTACTTTTTTTAATTCGATAATATTATGTCCACAGACATACAGACATAACACTCACAAGTTGTTCATCGCACAAGCATTTAACGGTCAATTTAAAAGTATCTCAGTTGGTAGTACTGCCACATGTGGCGCGCATAGTCAATTCCCTTGCGTTTGACGTTTACACACTACCGCCATCTGTTAAGCGTACTACCCACCACAGTGTACTCAACAGATGGCGGTAATGTTTTAGCGACGATGTTTTACAATGAGAAATATTCAATGTGTTACGTCTGTTTGTCTATGTTATGTCTATAAACCGATGATCTCACCTGCCGATGGTCTCTTGAATATTCAAATTGAAGAGATGTTTGGATCTCAGTCATAAAGCACGGTATAACCAACCGGTCAGCACTAAAGCCCTCTAGTTAAAGTATGGACGACTGTCACCACAAAACTGAAAAAAACGAGGACAAAAAGCTGTTCCAATCGAGCAACGCGGTGCATTTTGACGGTTCGATTGGAACAACTTTTGACAGACGTTCTAGTCTAGTCTAGTCTATAGTCTACACATATACACAGCCAGTACTTGAAAGAATCCTGGAAAATGATACATCTATCATTTTTCTTGTCATTATTAATGCCTGCTGCACATCAAGGATGTGAAACAAACAATAAAGCGGCCAGGCCTACTGTGTAGCGTTTAGTTAATTTTTGTGGAAGTGAATGTTTACCATGTCTACTTAATAAGTATAGACAGTGGTTAACATTTAATCCACAGGTAATCAAAGAGCGGGGACATACCGTACCAACCGCTCCGTATGCAGGATTTGAAAATAGGCTATATAAATCGTTGGGAGTGACAGAGCTAAGAAAGTTAATGTACACTCCTTGGTTGTCCGATCTCCTGGGATGGAACACAGGTATTTACCCCTTGTGTTCGAGCGTACAGTCCTCCCTCCGTACAAGCGTGGACGGCACCGCCAACCCATTGCCATCCCTCAATCAATCCCGCCGACCTCAGTCGAAGGACAACAGAGAGCGGTGTGCGGACGTAACCTATACGGAGGGAATGCTGTATTCGCCTAGGTTATAGCCAATGACATTTATATAAGGTCTGGGCCAACAGGCAGCTTGCTGGTGTTAGAAGCAAAAATGTTGTAAACATTGCTGAACATCTGCGAACAGATAGATATACGTCACTGCCAACATACTGAGAACAGATAGATATACGTCACTGCCAACAGCTGTTTCGTGTAAAAAGATAAACATTGCAATATAATACGAACACCACTAACCATTTGCACATTTCACTAACACCAATAAGCCCTTTGGCCCAGACCTTATATAAACGTCATTGGGTTATAGCGCCCTTGCTCGCTACCATTTTCTTCTAGCGGTTGGGACCTGAGCACTAACTCTTGTCCTAGCCCTATATGGCATATGGTTATAGCGCCATTACTCGCTTTCTGAAAAGAGAAGAAGGGAAGGGAAGGAGAGGAAAAGGACTTGGGAAAAGGAAATGCGGAATTCCTTTCCTCATTAGTATTTGTATCGTCAACTTTTATGAAAACTATATAAATCATTTTTCCTTGGTCAAAGGTATTGTCTTATCATTTGTTATTCAAAATTTAATGTTATAATGATCAACATAGCTTTGGATTATCCAATATAAATCGGTAACACTGTCCTGCAACCGATGATTTTTCTAATCCGAAAACTAAAAGTTACGAAAAAGCACTAATGCCTTCATTAAGTTCCACTTTCACGCGACGTTCAATGGTTAAACAAGTAAACAAGTTATTAAAATGAAATCACGTTCCCGAAAGCAGTCAACAATGTATCTTAAACCGGATCAAGCGTGCGCCCTATTTTTCTAAACATTCCGACGCGTTCCGCCCAATATCTATCAATTACGTTTTTCTACAATAGTAGCCTGGGATAAATCCTAATTCGACCGACACTTGTATCGCATAGGTTTTGCTGACAACCCTAATTGCTTATCATGCGGATTCCTCGAAGATCTTGAGCATATATTTTGTAAACGTTTTTCGGTCAATCAGTCATGGAACCACAGACAAACAGACGTAACTCTTTGAAAAACTTGTTCTTGAAAACATAGTATCTCAAAACATATAACCTCAGTAACGACATCTCTCTGGCTTCTCGCGGAAAACAAGCTTGCTCGCTAACTCGTAAACAATATTGCATAAAAGTTCTATAGAATATATAGAAACGTCAAAGTGATCCGATGCCAGCGCTGCGGCGAGTAGTTCGCGGAACTGATTATATTCAAATCAACCGTTAAATGCATGAACGAAGATACACAATGAAGAGTTACGTCTGTTTGTCTGTGATGGAACTATTTTATTAGACATTTACTAAACAGATTTGATCCTCGTTTAATGCGCTTCTTAACCTTTTCCAGTTTGATAGCTCCAACCTTAGAAGAGTTTAGCAGGGATGACAAAATTATGATTCTAAGAAAATTTGTTCAGTTTAGTCAATATATTTTGGAAACAGAACGACATATGATCTCCTTGCCTAGCTTCAAATTCTTCTTAGAAATAAATGCCTGTAATTAGTTTAGAATAGCTTAGCTTGTAAGACATGTTTATATGTTAGGAAGACAGAATAAAGATTTTATAAAAAAAACAGACTAATTTTGACACATTTGACTGATGCAATTTTTCATTCGTTCATTTATTGTATGTACCGTATGTATCTATAATCACACTCCTGCAGTGGTCTGGCAGTGGTATTATGTATAAAATCTACCTGTAACCATTTTTTTATGACTGCAAAAAGTTTGAACTCTGGAGTTCGAAGGTGATAGCTCTACCGTATACCCATTAACCCATTTCAAGATCGCATGCTTCCGAAGATTTTGCTTACAATAAGCCCCGCTCCGGTACAGTATCGATGCTGATAATGGCCCTTATTACGGGTGTCACTTCACGGTGAAAACGAAGTAAAGTGACCAGTTGTCACTCACGGTAGTAAGGGCCAATGTACTGAAACTTTCTATAAAACCAGTAGCGCAAAATTTGATTGACGCGTATTTAATGATTTAAAAAAAATATTTACGATAGAATTACCACAAAAATTAAGGAACGAGCTCACCAAATTAGTATCCAGAAAAGAACGGCACGGCTTAACAGGGTTTAACCAATGGGAATCTTTTCTTTCCATGCTGATTTCACGGTCTAAATCACTAACACTGGCACAACACGATTACTGAATACGTAAAAACTGAACTGGACTATACATTTGGAAATAAAAAAAATTCTTCCGGATGGCGTAGCGCCACCAGCCAAAACACTGACAGAAGATTATCGCAAAAAATCCCGACAATCGGAACAACTTTTGACAGACGTTCATACTTTTACACTGTATGGCTTTAGTCAGCACTCGTGTTTTTTTTTTCAGTTACCGTGGAGACGTAATTTATGATTAGCTCCAAATTGTCTCATTGTTTATGAAAGGCCCTTATATTTGAAATGGCGTAAGCATTATCTTCTTCAGAGGATCATCACCCATCGTTTAAACATGTTCTGGATGCGTTTATTGGTGGAAAATTACAGTGCAGCGATCAAAAACTAATCGATTAGTTGCTAATCGAGTAATTCAAAAATGGGACATAATGTATTACGGAAATGATAATTTGGCTCTGTAAAGTTTATTCAATAGAGTCTGAAAAAATAAAGTAATCAACAGAAAAAATGGGACATCACTGATTTTTGGTGATTGTTTTGATATAAAAAAAAAACAATTAACGTCAACAACTCTACACGCTCATCTGATATTACTCTAAAGTGAATAACTTTGACTCAGCTTCTTCTTTAAAATTTGTCGAACCTCGAACGGAATCCTTTTATGAAGAGCTTTGAGTGTGTTGGTTTATTTCCTTTTAATTCCCTTATAATTACTTATCTTTTGACAGATACGCGTATCTGTCAAAAGATAAGCAATTATAACGGAATTTAAAGGAAATAAACCAACACACTCGAACACGAAACGAAAATCAATTATTTTATTCATGTGTTTCACTCATACATTTTTGCCAAAGCATCAGCCTTATACATTCCATAAGACAAACCACATAGGTCCTATAATAATGCATAAAAGGTATGTGTGACCGCTTATACATTTCATTTGACACATGAGCTTCATTAACTTTTTGCAAGGCGTCTGCTTATTAGTTGACTTATACATTTTATGAATAATCAGCAATAGAAATTTGCCAAAAGGTATAAGGAGATTTCTATCCGTGAAGGTCTTCATACTCAGTTTCGTATGTGTATGCTAAATGTCAAAAACTGAGTAACATTAATTTAACAAAGTAACATTTACTCGAATTAAATAAATATGGATCTTAACTGTTTTGAGTAAGATCAAATGTAATAAACGTCCGAAAATTTTTAAGTCCTGAGTTGAAAGCAAATTCCCCGAGAAATTCCCACTAAGTGTGAAAAGAGTGAAAGTTTCAGCGTGCTGTGCAACTTTTCTGGACAAGTAACTAGCGTGAGTAGCAGTTGGTGTTTTTCCTGAGATAAACTTGATTTTCGCCTAAATTTACACAGGTCACGTTTTTCTGAACTTCTGCAACAACTTTTGGTTGTGAACTTCAGAATCTCAAGCTCGATTCAAAGGAAAGTTCACCATGAGAGAATTGCATGTATACACTTTAGGGAGCATCCATAAATGACGTAGCATATTTTTGATCAATTTTAGACCCCTCCTCCCCCCCTCGTAGCGTATTTGGCTATATCCAATACATGGCCGGTCACAAATTCTGAAACCCCCACCTCCCCCCTCAAATGCTACGTCATTTATGCATGTTCCCTTATGAGAAAATCGGAAAATAACAATATATTCAAAAGGAATTTAATTTTCAGAAAAACAAAATGCTGAGAAACTGATCCGTAAGTTGTGCCAGGAAGCAGCTCAGTCCATTTAGTGATGTTCAATGTATATTACATCCTTACTTCCCGGAATGAAAATAGCACCTGGAGATGCTAACATGCTAGCTGCAGTGGCCTTCGGTAAAATCGCTTAACAGATTAATTATCAATATGTTAATTGGAGTTTATAAAATTTAATCTTTTGAATAATTATGTTGTGATAAAATAAATCGATTTTATAATGCTGCAAAAAAGTTTCGATCAAATAATTTCCAGTCTAAATATAATATTTACAAAAACTGAGTAACCTTTACTCAGTTGTGCTAATATTGCGAAAAACGAAACTGAGTAAATGCTGGCGCACAATGTATAAGTTTCCGGGTTTTTTGACAGATAATGCATGGGCTGACTGTCAAAAAACCTGAAAACTTATCCATTGTGCGCCGGCCTTAAGTGCTAATAAGATTTTGGGGTTACTCACTTTAGGGTAGTTCCACTTTCAACGAGTGAGTGGAATTTAACTCACTTTAGAGTAAATTTGAACGAGCGTGTACTAAGCTGTTTACAAAAGTTGATAGGCCCTTTTATATTGTTGGTTGAGAAATACGCACTAACTTACCACCATGGTAGTCGTGAAAAGCTTGATTTTCACTCATTTGGAAGATATTCTACAGAACTTTGCACTTTTGCATTTTGACTCACTTTTTGTTGCAAAAAAGCGTCAATTTACATCGGATTTAGAAATGTTTCCGGCCCGGAAACGATTTTTTAGCGGCACAGTGCGAACTCCGAGCACAAAAACGAAGAAGTTTGTTTTTACTACACAGAAATAAAATATTCCTTATTGCTTTACTTCGGCATTGGGTGAAACGGCTGCGTCCTGATGAAAACAATTTGCTTATCAGGGTCACAGTTATAGCAACAATCAATACGAAACTACCCTAATAAAAATTGTATGGTTAATTTGCTTAACGACGTGTTCTGGGTATCATCCAAACCATTTGTGGAATAGTTCAATGATTTGGGTTATCGTTCGTTTATTATTATTTTTTATTAGGGTAACGATTTTAAATTGGCTCACCACTTTAGTAGCCTATTGATCCCAAGCAAACGATTAACGTACCCTATTCTAGTTGAAATTCTATTACTACACTATGTTTATTTTGATTCGCTATGAAAGTTTGACAGATAACATCAGGGGTGTGTGGATTCATGCAGAACATGCAGGGTGAGTGAAATAGCTTGGGACTGCTTGGGACCGTTGTTCTGGTACTGAGTGAGCCAAAAATAATAATGATTTTCTTCGGGACCCAGTGGTCTTAGAGTTACCTCTATGGTTATAACATGTTATAGCGCTATCTTGATGGTGGTTTCTGTGTTGCAATTATTTGACAACCGTAATAACATGTTATAACTCTCCAGTCTGTACAGTGTTTTAGGATTAATTGTGTCTCTGTTCAATCCCAGCCGAACCCTAATAAAATTGTTATGGTTATTTTGCTTAACGACGTGTTCCGGGTATCATCCAAACCATTTGTGGAACAGTTCTATTATTTGGGGTATTGTTCGTTTATGGTTATTTTTTATTAGGGAAGTCGCTGGGATTTTTCTGAGGCGAAAAATCTCTGATCACGTCTTCCTTCGGAACGTCATTTAGCTCATTAAATCAAGAACAATCGTCGCCTACCTCGCATAACTGGTTCCAAACATAAACAAACCATAAGAAACAGGGTTTGTTTACGTTTAGAACCAATTTCATACAAGAATGATCAGTAGGCTGATTTTACAGCATTTTACTGAACTGGAACCCGCATAGACCACCATTAATCACAGGAATTTAGGTGCACTGTCTGCAGATTTCCATTTATTTGCTATCCATTTTATTATGTTCTATCCCAAATTCTAAAATAATTTCAATTTATGTTTTTTTTTAAACATGAAAAGCATGTTTAAAATAAACATATTTATTTTTGATAGTTGTCAAATCAATCAAAAAATTCATGTTTATTTTCAACCAGGCTTGCAATTGCTCATTACAGCTAAAATCTAGGATCACTTGAGGTGCATTTATTATAAACAATAAAAATTAAATGCATTTTTTGCTGTGTGTAGTTCTAATCGGCACCTCCCACCAATACATGCATGTATACATGAAAGGGTTTGTCCTGTTTTGTTCTTCGCTTCGGTTCGCTCAAATACACCGAAAACGCGAGAAAACTCCGTCGAACCTCACTCGAACCTCCTTTGGCAGCACCGAAAATCTCCACCGAAATCTTTCGGAACCCTCTCCGCCGTGAATATCTGAAAACACCGTCCAAACTCTCCTCGAAAATTCAGATGCTACCAACGGAGGTGCCCAGAGACTTTCGACGAAGTTTTCACGCATTGTCGGCGAAAGAGGTTCTGCACGATACCAGTGAATAGATTGGATGCTGCAGACAAAAGCTCCAAGCATTTTCTCACGTTATCGGTGGACGAAGTTCCGCGTGATCTCGGTGATTTTGGATGCTGCCAGCGAGAGTTCCTGGAAGTTTCAACGGATTTTTTTTTTGTTGGCCTTCTCGGCGAATTAATTTCTGCATGATTTCGAAGACTATTCTAGCAGCTGCCAACGAAGGTTCTACGAACTTTTTCTTGTTCTGATAAGGAGTTCATCCACCAGGATTACGTTTGACTTGGTTTGACTAATTAAAATACATTGGGGCCACATTGAGTCTGTTGTTGTTGACAAATAAATATATTACAATTATACATAAAAAAATGCGAAATTTCGATGGCGTTTTCTTGCGATCATGGCGGACGAGGTTTCATACGGTTTCGGAGGGGATTTATGCTGCTGCCATTGGAGATTCCAGGGAATTTGAACGGAGTTTTCTCGCGTTCTCAGCGGACGAGGTTCTGCACAATTTTGGTGAAGGTTTTTTAATTCTGCCAGCGGTGATTCCAGTTTTGACGGAGTTTTTTTTTCGTATTTACGGTGGTAATTTTCGATGCTACCAACGGAAGTTTCAGGAAATCTGTACGGTTTTTTTTCTCGGGTTTTGGGTGGAGGAGCTTCCGCATGATACCGGTAGAGATTTTCGATACTGCCAACGGAGGTTCTACGGAATTTCAACGGACTTGATTCGTATTCTCGGTGGAGCAGGTTTTGCGTGATTTTGATGTTGGCGATTTCGTCGGAGAGTTTCTATGCTGCCCGAGAAGGTTGCAGGGAGATTTCCGTGAATTCTCTAAAGGTGTATTCAGATTTGCGTTGGAATGAAAGAGACGACTAGTACTTTTTTCCTTCTCGTACGTTCGCAAAATCTTTCTCCGCGCGTGAAATATCGCTCAGATCTGAATACACCTTAATAATTCGGAGTTTCTTTTCCTGTTGTGTTTGTTTATCTTCGCCTCGATACATATATAAATGTATAGGCGTATAGGTGTCACCGAAAAAGCGCATGCTTTGTTTTGATGTTTACATTCCACTGAATATTTGATGCAAACGATGAAAATTAAATGCATTTGATTTAAATTAAATGCTTATTTAATGGGCATTCTAAAAGTGAGACTCCCCTAGTATAAACCTCACACATAAATTTTATTAGTCAAAACAAATGAAATTCATTTATTTTAGAACATTGATTTTATTTGCGGGAAACCAAATAATTTTTAGGTTCTCAAACATATTTTTTTTTGTGAAGGCTAATTGCAAAAAAATATGTGGTTTCACACATAAAAGGTACACGGAAATTCTCCTCGGTGCAGATATCAATTGTTGATCACATTGCAAAAATTCATGTGTGGGACAAAAAAAAACAATCTTTGGGATTTTATTAGTGTATTGTCATTCAACTTGGACAACGGAAAACCCACACGCGACATTCGATTTTACACTCGTTCTGTACGTTAAACATAACGTCGGACATAGTGCGCTGAATAGCACATCATTGTGCGAATACAGCGCACTATGTCCGACGTTATGTTTAACGTACAGAACGAGAGTAAATTCAATTGGCGCGTGTGGGATGTTCCGGTTTTCAACTGAAACGATAATACTATAACGGAACTATCAATTCTATACTTTCATCTCCTCATCTATCGAAAAAAATTTCACTTTAAGTATGAAGTATGAAGTAATAAAAGCATAATTAGTTAAAGTAAATAAAATTCAGTAAAATCTGTTTTTTTTTAAATAAATGGCTGCGTTCACTACCGTTGATTGCAAAGGAATCACCCTAATGTGCGGAACAGAATCCGTGCTAGAGAAAACGCTAGAGAAACACAAATTTGCGTTCCTCTCTTGCTTCGTAAAGTGTGCGTTTCTTCTCGGCTCTTTATTTGACATTTCGACTCTCGACTCGTCCATTTCGTTTACTGCTCCACAAGTGAAAGGTTTTGACTGGTTCAGCGCTGGTCAAGAATACTTGATTACCTCGACCAGGATTACAATTACAACCGTTTGAATACGCCAAAATGGTAAATAATAAAGTTCTTTTCATTGTTCGTAAAACGTAAGTTTAATTTTGTTGGTCTTATATCGATTTTGTCCTGTTCGAAAGTCGCGACCTAACAATTTTAGGTTATGTTCCTTCGTCAATGTTTACACGTGTATAGAATCGGAATCTCAATACTAATTATCCCGTTTTCCCGCATTGCAGGCCGCCACTGGAAAGGATGTCGAGAAGCCCGTAGCCGAGGCCGCGACCGTGCACCGTATCCGCATCACGTTGACCTCGCGCAATGTCCGCAGCCTGGAGAAGGTTTGCGCTGATCTGATCAGCGGAGCCAAGAAGCAGAAGCTGCGCGTCAAGGTGAGTCACCCGCTTAGCAAGAACCGGAACGTATAATTTGCATTTACCTGGGGGGCTTCGAATGTAAATACAACTGTTCATTGCCCTAGTTAAGTAGATGCAATAGTAAAATAAATTTCTTTGACTGAATTATTGCTGGCCTTTTCTCAGCCGCAGTAAGATTGAGGGAATTTGACAAATTTTTCATTGCCACGATTCGTTGCGGTTACCATGGTGTGAGACATTTGGATTAATAACATCTTTTCATTCCACAGGGCCCAGTCCGTATGCCGACCAAGATCCTGCGTATCACCACCCGTAAGACCCCTTGCGGTGAGGGTTCCAAGACTTGGGATCGCTTCCAGGTAATTATTCCACTACTGATCGTTCAATAAGGGAAAAACACTCAGGCAGACTATAAACCAAAGTGAACGTCTAATTGCATTGATATCATTTATGAAAGTCGCGCCGACAGCAAACTGTTCCTCGTCATAGTGCTTGATTGATGCCTTGAATTCTTTTCAAGTCTCTAATGGTTCAGACAACTGCTCCACCAACAGCCAATTGAGTTAACATGTTTTGAAATGCAAATTGTAACGATACCATTTTCCCTTCCCTTCCAGATGCGCCTGCACAAGCGTATCATCGATCTGCACTCGCCATCGGAGATCGTCAAGCAGATCACCTCGATCAACATCGAACCCGGTGTAGAGGTTGAGGTCACCATCGCCGACCCTTAAGCAATTCGACCTGTTCGAAAAGCGGGGGAGGTAAGACGGCGAAAGCGGCTTGATCATGGGACTCGATGGATTCCGCAGTACAGAATCGTTGCTGAGCATAAGTAACATCAGAAAATCAAAACAAAAATCATTGTTCAATGAAAGAGCCGACACCTGTCTTCATTCCTTCTGTGCATTGGCATAACGCGTAACAGCTCGCGTCCAGTCGGTATAAACTTTTTATATTAAAAAGTTTCAAAAAATATAAAATGCTTCAAAAAAGGAAAACAAAACATTCTTCTTCGACAGGTTAAGGATTGAAAGAAAGCATGCGGTCTTAAATAATCGTTTCCGTTAGAATCGTATTTTTCTTACGAATAAAAAAAATGATACACGGCGAATGAGAACGACCCAAATTTGAGTTTAGTTCACTCATAATCGCCAAAAGTGCAGGAACTCAGTGATGAGTAAATTTGTCTCATGGTTTCCGGTGGAAAACCTAAAAAATTTGCCGGAAAATGAGGAAATTGACGAAAATTTTATTCAGTCTCGGAGTAGTACCAATAGACTGAGTGAATCCAATCTTTACTTTTCTCAAATTCGGGAATTTTTCCCTGGGAAAACATGAGGCAAATTTACTCATCGCTGAGTTCCTGCACTTTTGGCGATTGAGTTGACTAAACTCAAATTTTGGTCGTTCTCATTCGCCGTGTATAATTACTTATTGAATTTTCTTTCTTCTCTAAAATTCACTTGTTAACACTTAATTCGGACATCTGATGACTATTTGTATTCTTTGAAATAACTTCCACTATTGCCTATAACTACAAATAAACAAAATGGGGAGAATTATTCTACATATTTAAGGCCTAGTTGCCTTCCTAAGGAGCGGATTGCTATTTTCTCAACCTGAATAGCAACCCCCGGTACGCAAGTAGCGTTATGGTAGAGGTTGGTAAATGTGCCTTATTTACTCATTGGTACGGTTGCTCTAAGATGACTCCCAGATCCTTAATGTGATTCACACGATGTACGTCAACGCCTTCTAGGATATAACCAGTGGCGTCCCATAACCTCACTTTTTACCTGTGCACCAACTTTCAAAACCAGATTTAATGCCATTTTCATTTTCAAGTACAGAAGTGGGTCATAGGGCCAGGTCTCCAGTAAAACATCACTGTCCAACAGCACAAGGGTAGAGGTAAAGATTTGGCAACACAGAATAATTGTATCCCAAAAATTAGGAAAAAAGCTTAAAAGATCATACAGCATCATAATTAGGCCTATTCTGCGCGGCGTGTGAGGTGAGGTGACACGCTGTCACTTCTGAAGTGACAATCGTCACCTCGTGTGAGGTGACTCTCCATTTGATTTGCACGGAGACTCACCTCACCCGAGGTGACAATTGTCACTTCACCATTACTTCACTGTCACCTCACCTCACACGCCGCGCAGAATAGGCCTAAATATCCCGGAGCGGTTCAATTGAATATCCTACTACACAAAAATAAGATTATATCCAGCTTCCATACGCCCTCCAGTTAGTGTCAAAAAGCACAGTGAAGGATACATTTATTCATACAAACAGGCCGCCATTACCGAGCATGGAAAGCTGGATCGATGTGCGGTATAAGAGGTGAGGAGAAAGGAAACTAGTGGACTCTTTCGTTCTCGCGTCTTCTTACGCCAGCAACAGACGTGACGTCACGTCTGCTGTTGCATAAGAACACCGTCAGAATGAAAGAGTCCACTAGTTTCCTTTCTCCTCACCTCTTATACCGCACATCGAAGCTGGATAGGGTAGAGCACTACTTCGTCGTAATCGCCCATTTCCGTTCTATCGATCAGAAAAGATCAATAATATCAATGATTTCACCGTGCACAAAGCAATATTACGTTTGTTCCGATGCGTTAGTTCATTTGCTACAACATAAATCCTGTTACAGCGCATTGCATGAATATTTACGCTCATTGTTCTCAAAACAAAAGGAGCGCTCCTTGCGAATCCCCTTTTTCTACGTTTATCCGTAGGACGAAGTAAATCTAATGGCGTTTCAATGCGTTTGGACGGAATTGAAACTCGTAGGACAAATTTAGAATCAAGAAGCAGTGTTATATTTTAAGCAATATCTCAATAACTTGTGACTCTTTATCAAATTCAATGGTACGTCTGGAAAGGTGAATAAATTTAGAAGTCATATTTGACAGAAATATTCCCCTTTTTATTTAAACTCGTTCAGAAAAGAGAGATAAAGCGTGGGTTGTGCTTAGTACGACGGAAATTAGATCAAAAACCCTACAATTAGATTGGTCTCACCCGATATTCTTGAAATACTTGACGTTTTGAATGAAACATTGCCATTTCCAGACTTCGTGTTGTTAGTTTTCTTGAAGGTCTTGTGCTTAATTCTTGATTTGTCTTTCGCTTCGTATTTCTAAGAAGTGACTCAAACAGCGCTTCCCGCCCACAAGCTTTAGACCGAGTGCAGAATCTTTGTGGTGATACTTTCCAAACGTTATATTTTTTAATTTTTTTTATAAACGTTAAATCGTAATAAAACGTTCAGGCGATCAGATAGATAGGATGCGAACCATCGTAGGAGACTGCCGTTTATACCGAGCCCATCCAGTTTGGCGATCGCTATAGGATGGTTCAACTTGTCGAAGGCGGCTGATAGGTCAGTGTACATGACATCTGTTTGCATATGGTCTGTCATACTCTCCGTGATGTACGAGGTGAGACACAGAAGGTTGGAAGTAGTTGACCGCCATCAAGGGGCTGCTAAGCCAGCATTTTTCTGTTGTCTGCTATTTTTCACTCACACACTTACAACCAACGCAAAACAAACACATGCGATGTAAGCGGCAGCTGTAAAATATGCAATACAGCCGCAAAGTTCGTATGTGTTGTTCAAGTTTGTTATGGGCCATAAATTTATAGACCAGTTAAGAGGGTACTGTCAAATTTGCGAAATCCCATAGTGGAAATATTTTTGATGTCAGTCCTGTGACCGCCCTGCCATGAACCCATGCTGGTCTTCGCTCAAGTGCTGCTTGAAGTGAAAGACTAATGGTTCCATAACGGCCAACTTGAACAGTTTAGATATGACACATGTGATGCCGCGATAGTTGTCGATGTTTCTTTTGCCTTCCTTCTTATGCACTGGAAACATCTCAGCTGATTTCCAGCAGGAAGGAAACACCCCATTGGTGAGGGACATTTCGAACAGAAGGCAGAGAGTCAAAATTCTAGTACTAGACAATGTTTGTTTTGATTCGCTATGAAAGATTGACAAATAAAATGAGGGGTTCGTGGATTTTCCTATGTTTCGAGGGGTGCATCGATTAGCTTGGGACCGATGATAGTACCAGAGCTGAGCCAAAAAGCTGAGCACGTTTCTTCGGGACCTACTAGTCTTAGAGTTACCTCTATGGCAGTATCCTGAGCGGTGACGAAGCAAAGGTCTAAGCTACGATTGTTCTCATTAACCACGTGGCTGATTTGCTTCAGAGTGGCGATACTGTAATGATCCAAAAGGCTTACGCGAGAAATCGGTGATTGACGTGTTTGTTTACAAATGCAATTACGCCCAAATCTCAAATCACTCCGGAAATATCAAAAAATCAAATCTCACGAATGCTCAAGATCATGCTTGATTTTCGTAGACAAAAATCAACAAGCAAACATGTGCGGTTGATTTTGCAAGCTGTGATATCGCAGTTCGAAATATCAAGCAAACAAACTCACCAAACTGTGGTGAGATTGCGTTTAAAGATTTTTGCTTTACACCCGAATGCAACCGACACTTCACTGATGGCAATCCAAACTTGTTCCACGCAATTCCATGAATCGTTTTCGATAAATTTTGCCTTCAATCCAGAGCCGACCGCTATGAGAACGCCTCCACCAGTTGATTTGCGGCTGTTGTGCGGATTCCGATCGCATCGAAAAACCTCGTATTCAAAACCAAACAGTTGATTTGACAATGTGCGAGTATCGAGTCTCAGTGAGAGCGATGACGTCGAAGCAATGATCTGAAACCGCTAAGCAATAATCATCTATGTTGGAATTCATCCGTGCCTGGAAGATCTTGAATGGACCATTGACCCTAAAGTGACAATTGTCAATTCGAACTTATACCAACAATCAATACGAAAGTAACGATTTTAAATTGGCTCACTACTTGACTAGCCTATTGGTCCCAAGCAAACTATTAACATAGAGGTAACTCTAAGACCACTGGGTCCCGAAGAAAATCATTATTATTTTTGGCTCACTCAGTACCAGAACAACGGTCCCAAGCAGTCATAAGCTATTTCACTCACCCCTGCATGTTCTGCATGAATCCACACACCCCTGATGTTATCTGTCAAACTTTCATAGCGAATCAAAACAAACATAGTGTAGTAATAGAATGTCAACTAGAATAGGGTACGTTAATCGTTTGCTTGGGACCAATAGGCTACTAAAGTGGTGAGCCAATTTAAAATCGTTAGTTTCGTATTGATTGTTGCTATTAACGTACGCCATTCTAGTCGAAATTCTAGTACTACGCAATGTTTGTTTTGATTCGCTATGAAAGTTGGACAGATAAAATGAGGGGGATTTTCCTATGTTTCGAGGGGTGACTCGATTAGCTTGGGACCGAAGATAGTACCAGAGCTGAGCCAAAAAGTAGAGCACGTTATTTCGGGACCTTCTAGTCTTATACCCCGTACAGACTATGGCTTATATCATATAATATAGGCTGTCTTGCAATGAGCACTCTTACATAGGATTTCCAGTGAAAACTTGATGTATGAGTGCTCATTGCAACACAGCCTATATTACACTGTCACCTCACTTCACACGCCGCGCAGCATAGGCATACCTGTATTCGGTATTCATTGACTATGAAAAAACATTTGATCAACTCGACTACGAGAATCAAGGAACGAGTTTATGAAATTAAATAGAGAAAACAAGATCAGTCAAATCACACAAATCTGAATTTTCAAATTACAGGTGAAATCTGTTCTGTAACTATAGCGATACATACTGTTCTGATGATAGTA